CTACCTTCCCTTCTCTTCTTCCTCTCCATTTTCTGTTTCAGGAGGTTAAGCCACCCTCAAAGGGGCTTCCAAGGTGAGCGGTATCTCACCAAGTTGGTATCAGAGCAAGGTTGTAGACCAGCTATGCCGCAGACAAGATCCTCTACCATGGAAGACAGAGTTGACCAACTTGAGATTGGGTTCCACCAAGTACTAAACGAACTCAGGGATCTCAAGGTGGTCATCTCAAACCTCGCCTCCCAACAACAGTCCGGCGAGACCACTCAGCCAACAGGGGCCGACGCCTCTGTTTCCAGTAGCCAGGGAACTGGGGGTTACCCCGCTGGAAAGGTTACTAAAATCAATTTTCCCAACTATTCCGGTGGAGATCCCATTCCTTGGATCTTCAAAGCAGAGAGATTCTTCGAGTATCATGAAACCCCTGCACACCAGCRCGTCGCCATCGCCTCCATTCACCTTGAAGGAGACGCTATTCTCTGGCTTCAGTGGTATCGACAAACCCATCCTCAGGTAGCTTGGGCGGAGTTCACAGAAGCTCTGTGCATCCGTTTTGGGCCGACGGTGTTCGTGGATTATGACGAACTYCTCACTCGATTAAAACAGACAGAGACAGTAGTAGACTACCAGCTCGAGTTCGAAAGAATGGCGACCAGAGTACACGGATGGCCGGAGAAGGCCTTGGTTGGGTGTTTTGTGGGAGGTCTCAAAGAAGACATCCGCCTGGAAGTGAGAGCTCTTCGACCAGCGACAGTCATGGCAGCGGTGGGCAAGGCTCGCTTGCAAGAAGAGAAGATTGATAGCATGCGCAAGACTAGCAAGCCATCCTATCTGAATGTGAGGGCTCTCCAGCGGGCTGAACAGCAACCCCAAAAACAAGTTGGGGATCCTCAGAAGCCCATTTTGCCCAGGCCCACTGTGCCTTTCAAGCGCCTCTCGTGGGCTGAGATGCAGGCCCGACGCGAGAAGGGCCTCTGTTACAATTATAATGATAAGTTTGGGCCGGGCCATAAGTGTCGGGTCCAGCGAGTATTTCTCCTTCAAACAGAGGGAGAACCGGAGGGGACAGAACCAGAGCACCTCRAAGACTRTGAGCTGATATCAGGCGAACCAGAACCGGTTGGAGCCGAGATCTCTCTACACRCTCTCATGGGCCTCAACCCTCTTCAATCCATGCGAGTAGAAGGAAGATTGGGTGGCCGATCTGTGATGGTTTTGATTGAYAGTGGCTCTACTTTGAATTTCATCACTTGCCGTTTGGCAAAGCAACTAGGTATGACTATACACCCCACTCCTCTCTTTTCAATCCATGTGGCTAATTGGAATCGGATGTTATGTGATGGTGTACGTAAGAAAGAAATGATCCTCGTACAAGGCCATAATTTCGTGGTAGATCTCCACCCATTAGAATTCTCGGGGGCTAATATTATTTTGGGAATCCATTGGTTACGTGGCCTAGGTCCTACACTGTGTGATTGGGCCAGAATGACAATGGATTTTTGCCAAAATGGACAGACCTGCCATTTGCAAGGGGTGCGGCCCCCTAGTCCCCGAGGTGATACCTTAGCCTCTATAATACGGGCCTCCAAGGATACTGGACAGCCCTTGTTTATGCATTTAAGCATTCGGCCCACAGTTCCAATTTTAAACAATCAGGACTATGACTAACCTACTAAAGCCCAACACTAGAGCCTAAGATCGATCCTCGATCA